CCACTTGTCCTCTACACTACTCTCAACCACTTCATCACAGGAACCCCCCCACCGGTGATTAAGAGACATCAGCTTTCTCTGAGCCATTACCTAGTTTCCACTCCAGACACTCACTACTTCTCCTCTGGAGAAGCAGTTCTTGTAGAGGATGAAGCTTGACATCTTGCAGTTGGGGGACCACACGAGCAGCGGCATCGAGGCGGCATCTGTTGCCGACATAATTGATTGAGGACAAACATAATCAAATAAGTTGATTTACAAATCGGCGTTTCCGCAAACCTATGCAGTCAGCTATAAGTTCCCCACACTGTAACACATTGCAATGATTACACAATAAGATAGGTTGCTTGTCGCGCCAAAAACATTACTTCAATCCATTGGACATTGTGGGAATTGAACCCACGGCCTCTCGCAGTCACGTTATGATGCGAAGCGAGCGCTCTACCCCTGAGCTAAACGCCCTTGAATAAATGTCATTAATATAAAATACATAATGCACATGCAAGCAGTAGGTTCACAGTATAACCAACCGCAAAATGTGGTGGAGTCTCTCACTAGTCTCTCCGATGGTGAAAGACTCCGATCCACCGGGATTAGCTGGAGATTCCGCGTACATCATACCAATGCATGCGGTCACTGCTAAGTATGCGATGAAGCTCGTAGCCGCACCCTGGCTGCACCCCACAATGCGACGTCCGCAAAGACCACGCCCAGTGTGCATGAATTCTCGTGTTAAACGGAAGCTGCTCGCTGTTCCTCCCATTACAGGCCCAGACTTACATCACCGGTCCTACATAGAACGACACAAACACCTAAGTAAGTATGGCCAGCTGTTCACGCTTGTTCTATGGCGTTCAGCTCAGGGGCAAAACACTCAGTTGCTGAGGCATTTAGCTCAGGGGTGGAGCATTCGACGACGGACTAAGCTCGGAAAAACCTGGTTTCGGCCCCCATCCCCGCCTCTAATGTTCTCACTCTCTGCTCGTATCGACGCCGAACAAGTGGCTGCTGCAAGAAGACTTCGTGCTCCATCGCTAGAAACCATTGAACTTGTATCCATACCTTCCCTGGACTCGACTATGATTATTCTGCCCCCTTTCCCAAGGCTTTGCTTACAAGTCGAAAGGACATCGAGCCTGAATGATCTCGGACAACCCGAAACTCGCTTCAGCTTCACCGCTCGTGCAGCTGGAACCACGGCGCCAGCGGTACCGGTACCTCAAGATATGGTATATTCCTTGGAGCAGTGAAAACAGTTCCCGGCAATGTGCACGTGCTTCCTATTAGGTTAGCTCTTCGTCGAGGCCCCTGGGTGATCCAAGTGCTGAACCTGTCGCTTGCTCAGCTGGATGGAACGACCGAAAGCTGGGTTCCCTTCTATAACGAATCAGAGAAGTGTACCAGGTAGCTATCGGATTGGTGAACAAACTGGCGTAGATCATGGCTTATAGCAATGCAGGTCGGCTTTCTGGTGGCCTCTTTTATCTTCGTGTTTTGTAGTGCGGTGAGTGCCATCTGCGGCATGTTGGGACTGAGCTCATTCCGAAGGACTATAGGGATGGGGAGCGGGCGATGTAACGAGCATGCTCTTTTCCGATCAAATGGGATTCGGCAAGGTGAGTCTGACTTCTGCCTAGCTGGAGCTATCTGAACCCTGCCCTTAGATCCTGGTATTCGGTCAGTCACTTGTGGGTCAGGCAAGAGGTATGGTGCTGAAGTTCTCATTCATCAGGAGCTGCCCTTCCAGTGGTTGCGTTATCACTCCGGATAATAGCTCCCCCATTTCCTGCTTTCTAGCTACGTTCTTCATCAACGCGCTGGGTCAATCCATCCAAGACACGCACATCAACAGCTACGTCGCCGTTTGGGGCGATTATACAAAGATGGGCATCTCGCACGCTGTGTACGGTGAGTACCTTCCATGGGTGGAGTACTCTACCATTACCGATGTCGTTTCACCCCATGGTTTTGGAGCATTCTCGTCGGCTCTGGTCTCGACGCAATTCTCGATGCTCGACCGATGGATGTTTCATTTTATAGTGTCCCTCGCTCTCGCCCTCCTCAACATCTCCACGTTAGTGTACACCTTCATATTCAAGACGGAGGATGGTCATTTCACCTTGCTTTCTTCCCTGTAACCAGTCAAGCCGTACTGACGCCTTCCACAACAGAGTGCCTTGCACAAACAGGCCGAGAGCCCGTTGAGAAGAACCCAGACGGACCGGAGATCAGAATGAAGCAATTGCTCTCCTTCAAGGTGGTTCCCCTTCTGGCCGCGTACCTATTCTTCCACGTTGGCTTGGAGTTCACGATGGGAAGCTGGATCTCGACATATATCCTGGAGGAGCTCAATGGGTCGCAATCTGTGGGATGCGTTGCCGCGGGGTTCTTTGCTGGGTTGACTTTCGGGAGCGTTGTGTTGCTTTGGGTTAACGAGAAGGTGCGAGATCTTTTTTCGATCCTCGTGATGAGCAGCATCTAACCGAGCTCGTAGATCGGGGAGCGTCGAGTGGTATTCCTATACATGGCCCTAGCCATCGGGTTAGTTTCTTCTTCCTTCACCTACCCAACATCCGTTCCTCACGTCTTCCGCAATCCAGACTCGAACTCGTCGTATGGCTCATCCCCTCCCGCTTCGGAAGCGCCGTCGCCGTCGCCCTCGTAGGCGCCCTTCTCGGCCCCCTCTTCCCAATCACCATGAACCACGCAAGTCGCGTTCTTCCCCGCTGGATGCTCCCCGCTGCCATTGGATGGATTGCCGGGGTCGGACAGGTGGGGCCAGCGGTTCTGCCGCTCATGACGGGTGTGTTTGCGGAGAAGTTTGGGATTTTGAGTTCACAGCCGCTGTGAGTAGTCTTGTTGGTGGTTGTGTGATACTTCTTGCTGAGTTGTAAGCTGATTCGCATGACAGTCTCGTGGGGATGATGGCGACTTTAGCTGCGCTGTGGGCTGTCGTACCGGCTCGTTCGCGTTTGGATTGGTGCCTGACTTGCTTCGGATGATTTGGAAGGCTGTTTTCAGGTTCCTCTTAGAGCTTCGTGACGTTCTAGGGCATACGGAATGGTTTTCTTCAGAAAATTACAAAGGTCCTCAGCAGCTCTGCGAGTACCGAACGGGACCAGCTAGGTGACCGGCGCTTCTCGTTCCGTGTTCCGTCGGAACATCGACTACTCTTCCACGACGTTCCGCAGCCACACAACTATACTCTATGTACATAGACATACTCTCTGTACTATTTATCCTCACCATGCCCGTTGTGTACTGTAATATTTGTATACCTTTGTTGAAGTATTTACCGAGCTGTCACATTCGGACGGACCTGCCGAAACGTTCTCCCCTGCACATGACGTTGCGAGCGTTGGTTCTAACCTCCATTGTCGCCGTCCCCGAGCTCTAGCTCTACTACCTTATTGGCCTCCGCTACACGGCAACCTGCTCGCCAGCGTGAGAATAGCTGCAACAAGCTCCTCTAATAGAGCGATCTCCGCCTGTTTGGTTTTAGACAGTAAACCCTCGTCTCAGCTCTCGACATGATGCCGTCTGGGACTGAGCGCGAGCCTTTGCTTCAGCCATCTCATGATCACGACAACGCCCTCAAGGATGACGACACGCATGTACTGGGGCCTAGAGATGTGTCAAAGTCGACACGATATGGGATATTAGCTGGGATGTTCTGTGCTTCGTTTCTATCGGTGCGCAGTCCGAACTTCGTTCTACGTCTCCTGCTGACTGACAACTTGTGCATCCAGTCTGTAAACAGTGCGTGATTCTTCGATCCTCGAGAACTTGTTAAGATCTAACGCGTTGCGGTTAGTGACCCTCGTTCCAACCAGTGAGCATTTTCATTCTATGCATCAGCCGCCCGTTAAACAAGCTATCACCCCCAGTGATACCGTCCATCTCCTCCGACTTCCACAAATCGTATCAAGCTAGCTGGCTGGGAACCTCGTAAGCATCCCCTCCCCGTATCTTGTGCGCCCTCTCACACGCCCCTAGTTATCTCCTTGCTACATGTACATTCACCCCTCTGTACGGGCGTCTTGCTGATATTCTCGGGAGAAGACGCGCAACACAGCTCGCTATCTTCTTCGCCACGTTGGGAACGCTGGCTTGTGGGTTCTCTCCGTCGATGGAGACTTTGATTGCTGCGAGATTCGTGCGTTATCTGTGTCGTCTTCCGCTGTTTCTGTGCTGATATTTCATATGTACTTAGCTCTCTGGCATGGGCGGTGGTGGATTGTTTACCCTCTCGTCGTGAGTTCTACCTGCCCTACCCACTCATCCCAGCAGGCAACTTACCCTCTCTCTAGCATCGTCGCAAGTGACCTGTACTCTCTTAGGGTACCGTCTTCCACTGTTCTCCGGTTCTCCATCCTAGGCTGATTCTAGCGAATCAGTCGCGTTCGCTCACCCAAAGCGTTGGAAGTATGTTCAATGGCGTGAGTAAATCAAGACGAACGTGTATGCCCAGGTACAACACTGACGTGCTAATAGTTAGGAATGGGTCTCGGCGGGCCAATTGGAGGTCTTATCAGCGACCGCTACGGATGGCGAGCTTCGTTCTTGATTCAGATTCCGCTGTTTATTGTGGCCATGTCCATCACGTCTTACAACCTCACCTACACGACCCCAGTAAGTTTCCGCTGTTCTCCGGGGACTGCTTGCTTTCTCACTTGATGAACAGGGGCAAGGAAAGAGCACCAAGAAGATTCTCAAGTCGATCGATTATGGTGGTAGCTTCGCACTACTGTTTGCTGTGAGTATCTTGAATGCGTTGCTCATCTCTTTGTTGCAATACTTATGAGTCTGGCAGGTCGGCTCATGTCTCTTCTTGCTCAGCACCCGCTATAACGAAGGGCTTCCCGTGGGTGTATCCTGTTCAAACACTGATGTGGCAAGCTCTGACATTCGACCTAGTGGTCTGACGCCCGCGTTATTGCCCCGCTTGTCCTTATGATCGCCTTCGCTATTACATTCGTCCTTTTCGAGCTTTATGTGGCTCCAAAGCCCGTTATGGAACCGTCTTTGTTGAAGCAGAAAGTACCTGTTCTGGTCAGCATGAGCAACTTTCTGGTAGCCAACTGCAACTTCACGGTCACCTACTTCTTCCCGATGTACTTCCAAACTGTGTTGTTGACCAGGTGAGCAGTCTTCTTTACCTTGGGACCGCGCCCTTGCTCACTCATGCCATTCACTCGTCTGCAGCTCATCTGTAGCCGGTACGAGCTCTGCCCTCTGTGGAATATCTGAACCTGACCACCCTGAACTCTAGGTGCACATCTCATGCCGAATAGTATATCTATGTCGCTGGGCTCGCTGTTCACCGGATGGATGATACATCGCACTGGGAAATACAAGAACATCAACGTCACTCTCGGCTTTCTCCCTTTCGTGGGCACTCTGCTCATCCTTTTCATGAGAGAGGATTCCGGGTTCATCCAGAAATGGCTCTCCATCGTGAG